TTACTTGGAGCAGGTCACCTTCTTGCTTCCTCCACTTCCGTACCATTGATTCATTAATGTTGAATTTTTTGGCAGCTGCTCTATTCCCATGTTGTAGTTTGAAATCCGTTTCGTAAGCATGTCTCATAACAGGTACCATTTTGGGCTCCTTACACGGCAATATTGTTGAAGCACAATGCGTATCACGAAAGTTGGCGGGGCAAATGAAAAGGTTTCGTATTAATCACCGGATAGCCACCGTCCCGTGATTGATTTATGGTCACAAAAAATCACAAGAAAACCTCGCGCTTGTATAAGATCAAATTCATAACTGCAGTCGGCAATTGCCTAGACAGGCGCCGTAACAAAACGGCCCAGGACAAAACGCCGCCATTCAACGTACCCCGACAAAACGGCGCGGTACAAAGATTATGATACCCGTCTAGTGACTGTTTGCGATCGAAAAGAGCCGGCCAACGTGACAAGCTGAGTTCTACCATAGACTCGCTCCATTGAAATGTAAATAAGGCCCAATTACAAAAGAGTCTTTCTACGAAATCGAACCATTTTATAAATTTACTAAAATAACCATGGAGAGAACGACATCGCAGAAGCAGAAGGAGCATCTTTTGTAAGAAGGATTCAGGCCAAAATTCATATATAAGGCGCACCGGACTCTAGGGCGCAGTGGCAATTTTTTACAAATATAAGTATTTTAAGTGCGTCTTATGGTCCGAAAAATATGGTGCAGTGCACATCACAAACCATAGACGCACTGCTTATGCAGGCGGCTCAATTTGATGATCGCACAAACACACACAAACGCAATCTGGTCCATTGATTTCAGACTCACTTCGCCGTAGATCATGAATAGCCACAATAAAAGAAGGATGTGAAGAATGCTTTTGTTAATAGTGCTGTTCGTCTAATATTCTCATTCTTTTGTATCAACGCACTGTCCTTTTCAGTTCGCCAGTGTCGTAGAAGTATGTTGCGCTTTTTGTTTCACGTAATTAAAATTGAACAGATTTTAGCATCTTTTTTTAGACCTACTTAAGCATACGAATAAAACGAACGTGGATTACTTTCACCTTCAACGTGCTATCGATGAGCTGCGAAGAGTTTTAACGTAAGTGTATCCCGTGTCTCCGTTTTCATTTGTTTAGTTAATTTGCTGTCAAGTAATGCAGCTGATAGATCAAGACTCCGTGCATCATAATCGGAGGTTCACCTTCCAAGATTACATGGCAGACATGCTTAGTAATTATAGGCTGAGCAGATAGGATGGCCGAGCATTTTCAACGGCTCCTCAATCCTCCAGACTTACCTCAAATGTAGTAACGAAAGTTTGTAACCGTTAGTATGTCAGTCTTCTACAAGTTCATGATGGGGCTGTTTCCGGCAATCTCAGATGGGAAAAACGATAAATGTTCATCTAGCGCCAAGTTAGAGTCACTGATGAACATAATAGAGGCAAATCCACGTTCAGATAAGGGTAGTTTTTCTTACAGTACTTTAACTGGCGCCTTGTAGCAAAACATAGAGAGGCTAGAAAGTCTGCAGACATTAAAATCAAAAGACATCCTACTAATGTTAATGATTCGCTTTGATTATCAAGTGGAAGTCAGCTTATGAGCACGGTAAGGGTGTATGCACTGTTTTTTTATCAAGCTGTAAATACTGTTCTTTAAAATAAGGCATTCCTGACTGATGGACTCGAAGCGGACATCGGCATCGCACTACGAGTTTCATGAATACTAACATCGCCTTTACAGTGAGAAAGACACTCCTGGCTGATTGCAGCGAAATGAAAGCCCGTGCTCCACAAATACGTTTATCGTGGAAGTGCTAAGGTGACATACATATAGAAGATCACGAACCATCGTTTTTTAGTGGTTATCTACGTGCATGCTAAGGAGACATTCTTTACTGCACAGTGTTCATCACCAGAAATCGATTCCCTTGCTGGGTTTCCCCAAGAGGAGTGGATGAACCAGCAGCATTATGGTTTGCTCACTGTTTGTTCAAGAGCGTAAGGTTCCTCCTTCCTGCAGCAATTGCGTGATATGTGGCAAAGTCGCTGTAGAGAGGACGTCCTCATTCGTTACTTTGCGTCATATCAAGTAACCCTTAAAATGCTGCGCGGGCGACCTTAAGAAGGTTGGGGAACTCGAGGGTTTTAGCAGGGTCGCTTCATTAAGCCACACAGAATAACCAAGATGAATGAGGTTGTGAAGCTGAACTTCTGCCACCCTGATACTCTATTCACCTTAAATGTTTTCTTGGGTTTCTACAGTCACATCTTTTAAGACAGTTCTCCCATCCAGTTATATTTTACAGCAGCCATCGATAATAATTGTTCATCCTAGCATCTGAAATGGTGAGTTTTTGCGCAATTGATCTGCATGTGGCGAAATATCGGGCATCATATGAGATCGTCATCGTCATCATTTGAAATGTCGTTGGCACTGGTTTTGTTCCTTATATAAGTGCATCTTTCAGGTACATCAACGAAGATAAACGAAAGACAGAGGGGCAGCTTAAAATGTTCGACATTGTTAACCAAATTGAAAACTGCCCGGTAAGGTTTGCCGTCGTTTGCAAAATTTTCAAGTTCCAGTTGTTATCGCGCATTTTCTTTAGCCGTACCTGTTGTCTTCTCAGCGACAAGCACTGGCTTTTACCGACGTTATCCAGTTATGCTCTGGTTTCAGTGAGAAAGGAATGCACATGACATTCTATCTGTTCAACGACTGTCTTGAGGTAGTGTCAGCGTGTCATCCTTGACTCATGGACGTCGTTTTGGGTACTCTGTAACTCTTGTTCGTGTAGGTCGCGAAAAGGAGACGCAGCTGGAGCGATCACTCTTCTTCAGCTAAGCGACAGCATTTGAAAGTTCGCAAGCATATCGAGCTGTTGTTTTTGTCCAACATCAGACGAGTCATTGTGTTGAAAGGATCGGCAGGTAATCAGACCAAGTCGTTGCTTTAACTGTTCATAGACGCTAGAAAGTACTGATCTTGCCAAGAGATTGAAACTTGTCGGTAGGATTTTGTTATTGGCTTCTGGAAAAGGAGGGTGACGTGCAGCTTTCGAGTGGCCTTCAGTTTTTTTACTGCAATAGGTAGCCGTAAGTTGTTGTCATCGTCATCTCAGGCAAAAGAAACATAGACAGTGGAGTTAGTGATTAAAAGCTCGGTGAAATCTGAAAGATTCATATTCAGATTTGTGCGCTGAAAAGTTCGTATTCGTCGTGCATGCAGATATAGCAGGTTTCCATATTTCTATTTCTTAGGGTACTCTTTAATTTATGAGCGATTCCAATCAAAGATAAGTTCAAAGCGAGTTTCCTTTGACCGGCTCATTTCATTAAACTAATCTGGTCACTGTCCAACGGTGATTAAGATGATCGTCGTAATTAAATTTCTCTACAGATCCGCCGGATTTGTTTTGTTTGGCGATCAGAAACAACATGGGCGACTTTTACTACGCTTACCAGTTTTTGGAGCCATGCTCGTCAGACGAGAAGAAAAATTTTTTGAAATCACTTAACGAGCAGATCGTGTTCATCTCTGGTAGAGCGAACTATGGGATTCAGGAATATGACATCGACTCCGAAGGAACCGGTGGCGATTACGAGCTCAAGAAGGCGTTACGAAAAGCTGTAAAGTAAGTTGACTTTCTGTGCAATCCATCGATGACATCACTCCTGTCTTTTTCTACCTTGTCGTTTGAACAGGTATTCGAAATTTGGCAGGCAGCGCCTTAGCAGAGGCTGGCCCTCAAGCGCATCTCCCGACAGCGGCTTCCATTTACAGAGGGCCGTAAGCCAGATGACGCTTTCGCTATCCGGTACTTTACGCCGAATGTCAAAGTCGAATTTGCGGTTGCCTGTTACAGATACCGTCGATGAACGACCGGTGAGTTTTCAAGACAGTTTTCAGAACTCTCTCTAAATCACTGTCGTTGTAACTATGTAGAAATTGTGACTAATTTGTTTGGCGATTTCTACGCTGAAACTACTGTCCTGTATATTGATCACGGTGCCCGTGACGAAACAAAATAGCATATGCTCTTTTCAAAGCCTTCCTTTTTTCGCAGAGTTCTATTAGTTTCTAACGGTGTATGGCAGATTTTTTATCTTCTGTAATCCTGACGAAACTATACTTTGATCTTTTGAAATGAAAGGGCGAAACCTCTACCTGACTGAAACGAAGGGACCACGTTTTGTTGACTTCATGGGAAAGTTTCGTAGTATTAGTTCATTAGCATTAGCAGTGTTCACATCCTCTACTAGACATTTTATAGCTTTTTCACTGTAACTAGCTTTTAAGGGTTTTGCATTTTTTTAAATTCATTTTATTTTCAATTGCCTTTTAAAATATTGTTTCTGTGTCTTTCAGTTTTCTTTTAAAATTCTGCGTGAGAATGACTGAATGAATGCTAGGTATATAATGAGAAATTTCGGTATATAGAACTGTTCAGAGTCAAGGAATCTGTTTGGCAGAAGTTTCGCAGCAATATTTTCTTCCTGGTGGACGCCATTTTCATCCATGACATTTTCGCTCCTGCATGTTCCTGAACAGCGAGGACTAAGTGTTAATTTAATTTATAGTATATTCGATCTTGAGAGTTTAACACTAGTCATATTTTGAAATGCGATAATAACAAACAACTGGCCATCTGTTCATTATACGTAAGATGAACTCTGCGGCTATGCCTTTAACGTTTTTGTGATTAGTATAGCTCTGTTGAAGCGTCCTGATAAATAATTTGATGTTAAGTGCTTGACAGAATTATACATAATGCTGATCAGGTTAGAGATATCTTCTCTAGCTAGGGTAATCGGTATGGGTCGAAGCTAAAGTGTGAGACTTTAAGTTCGATACTGACGCTGTACGAGTATTCTTCCCTCCCACTCTCTAATTCAGCTGGTAACAACAGTGAGTTATTAATTTCAGAAACCTACAAAGATGACAGTGAATCACAATCGATCGGCCTTCATGGTGCGGTGGAATGAAAATAGGTTGATCACTGAATGACTGTCCATGTATGAACAAAATCATCAAAAGGTAACCAGTAGTCGGCAATAAAATGTCTAAATTGAACACAGAGTGTAATATAGATTTTATGATTATGAATTGCGTAGTTTAGACTAGACCCGCTAGAGAATAATGACACACTGGTCAAAGAATGATTTTTATTGTATTCGCTTATGCTGTTAAATTTGAACATTTTATACACTGTTTTATCAGGTTCTATCTTTATTAAATTTTTTAACGGGCGAATTAGCACTTTCGGTTTGAAATGTAACGAGCAAACAACGCGCTCTTCCAGTTCCATCGAATGGGCGGCCAGGCAAGTGTTTACTTTGCATCGAATAATTTGCTTCGCTAAACTGTTGGAGCAGGTTTGGGGAGGTGGATGTACTGTATGCGTTTAACTTTTGTAATTCTGTTGTCGTCGATAGCGAATCTGTCACCCATTTTCCATCGTTCTTCTTCGTCGCGCTCCTGCTTCATTTTTTTGTCCTGCAACAGCAGTCGTCACCTATACAGATATGTGGATATTTAGCAATCTGATACTTACAATGCGGTGTACGACAATGCCGGCCGGTACCCATACCATCAGCGTTAGAATTATGACCACACCGACGATATTGTTGCGCAACAGTTTTACTGTAATTGAACGTAAGCTTTCACATGCACGAACGCCAACAGTCGTCGTCTTTAAATATCTTCTTACCAGCGCCGTTGATGTCCAGCTTTTCGATAATGTCCCACATGTACTCGATAATGTCTTGCACTTCGCGTTTGCACACAGCACCTTTGCAATAGCCTTGGATGCAGCGTGTTCCGTCCGCCAGCGTCAACTTGACGGATTTGTTGGGACCGGTCAAAAACGGTTGGCATTCGCCTGCGCTCGACGCACGACAGCAGCGATAGCATGATTCGGTTACTTGAAAAATAGTTTGCATCATTTAGTAAGACAGTAGTAAAATACAGTGAAACCCATCTCGGTCAGCCTGCCTTGTAAACGACCACTTTACCGTGGTGCAGATTCTTGGCATAAAATGATAATCTTTAAAATTTAAGCCATCATGCTTAACGCAAAGGCCCGCGACTTTTAGGCGAATATCTTTCAGCTGCGTCACTACTGAGCAAGGTTGTACAAATAAGCAAGCGTAGCAAACTTAAATACCGATAGCAAATTACTGTCTTGGGAACAGAAGTACTACATGTACGGAATTGCGAAGTAGAACGTGTGTGAACCAGTCACGGCAGCGGCAAGCTATCATTTAAGGAATGAGGGTCATGGGTTTAGTAGTGGTTTCTTCTTGGAGGATGCGGGCAGAACTCACAACGCTGGACAGCCTGGTTGGTAAGTTTTGCCTGTTCCGCTTGGCCGGGAATGTTTCTGAATGTTTCACTGCATGGCTCAACTTGTCAGCGCCTAGAGGCTCAACTGTACATTGTTTTGAGAATCGTCGCCCTCCTACTACGTTGATGTAGAAATATGACTCAGGAGTGACCACCGTCACTTACTACACCGTAAACCTTCAAGGACTCGAATCATACATGAATCGTCTTTCTGTTTCACTGTCAGTTGTTATTACTAGCAGATGCCAGCCACCGTAACCGTGCTTCGTTACCAGCCTACTTAAACCACAGTAGTGTAGATGCGAGAACGGTGTGCGCATACTTATTCAGAACAAATGTATTTAAACTTGCACTTCACAGTACTGTGGTATGGAGTCTAAGTCGGCTAATGACAAAGCACCACTACTGTAGGCATCTACTAGTCAAGGCATCATAATGTGGCACTGGACTACGGCTCTGTACAAAAGGGTTCATTTTGGAAGTACACAGGACTTAGACACTTCGTCGTCAGCATTTAGTACGGAGAGACGGTCCCTTTTGTAGCGTTCGTCACTGTCAAGAAGTCAATGAGTCTCCAGGAACGAGCGATTTATTCCTAGTCATGCATTACATGCCAACCAGCTGTTCGGCGCAGACGATTCCTCCGTCCTTCCCGGTCGTGTGGCTTGGAAGAATGTTTGGACGGCTGAGACCATCTCTTCTTGATCGAGTCGTTGTCCACAACCGGTGCTGGAATACCGAAGCGTGAGAACAGCTGGCGCACTTCTGGTTGTTACTAGCCCGCCTTCACTGTTGATCAAAGGATAGCCACGCACGGATATTAATGGGCAAGCCACAATAACAGCTAACAGACGCTGCGTGTCTTGTCACTTCCTCCGATTCATGCGGCGTAGCCATATCGTCCTTTGATTCTAGCAGCCTAGGAGATCGTTTAAACAGGCCATGACTTTATATTTAGTACGTGCAATGCATGAAAGCGAAACCGCACAACTGTCGAGCAAAAACACGTTCGAATATCTACGGGTACGCTTCGATCCGTAGGCATGTGTAATGCAAATTAAGCGCAATATCATGAGTTTACCAACAAACTGCTAGTGTTCGATACGGCCCGTACGAATGACAATCTCTTGTCATTTCTCCGGACTTACACAGCATAGTCTTATCAATATCCAGAACAGCGTAGCCAACTTACTAACAAAGAGCCCAAAATACACATCATCGTCAAAATATAGCAAAGAAAATTTGGTTGAAACAAAACGGAAAATGTATGTGAAAAGTCGAAATTGAATGAGAAAGAAAAACTATATTTGCTGAAGGGACATCAGTAAAACCAAAAGCATAAAAGTCGAAAACTGCACGAGGTCGACGGAAGGGAAAAATATTGCAACTCAATGGTGAACACACTTTCCGACGTTAAATGAATAGCATCTTTCAGAGAAACCTCAAGAAGAAGCAAAAAATCCTAAGGTACGAAGAAAAATAATGCCTAAGGCTGATATTAAATGCCCAGAAAAGTACAGAAGGAACTGAGACAGCAAAGCCTTGCTTGGATCTGTTTGCTGCTTAAGAAAATGAAGACAAACGAAAAGACGTTGCAAGCATAGAACGAGAGCACTCTAATGCAATATACAACATAAAACAGGTCAATGAAAATTATCACAGAGGTAACAGATCTGCCAAGGTAACTTTGCATGACATCACGAGGGACAGAATGCAAGAAAACGTTTTACGTCAACCATCTGGCTTTATGTCAGGCAGATCAGTGATTGCAACACTGAAAGAAACACCTGCGTGCTCTTTCTAAGCCTTTGAAAGAGATAACAGCATACCAAGAAAGACGACATGATAAAGCATGAAAAATATGCAGGTTCAAGAATAGTGCAGTGCATTACGCTCACAAAACATATGCACCGCAATTAT